GCTCTTCCTCCCTCCCCTCTCTCAGGAAATTCAGAATCTGTGGAAGGAATCTGAGCCGGAAGAGGATGTTGAATTCAATGACCTTTAAAAAACAGCCTTCAGTATCCCTCCTCCTCCCCTCATTCCCTCACCCCTACCACCCTACCCCCATCTCTGGTTCTGCAGGAAAATCATGAAGTGACATTTATTGAGTATTTACCATCTGTTGTCACTGTGTTCTTTTCTTGAATTAACTTTCTTCATTTCCTCCTCTCTGTATCCCCCAACACACAGATAAGAAAACTGAGGTTCAGGGGCAGAATATGACCACCCCAAGGACATGCTGTTAGACAGAGACCAAGCTGGGCCTGAAATCCAGGTCTGACCACTTGCTAACCACGACACCAGAAGGCCTCCTGCCGTCCCTGGGCTGACTGGACCGGGTCAACAGCAGGATTTGGGAGGAAGGGATGACAGAAGAGCTTGAAGCATGCCAGGAGGACAGCAGGGTGGGGGCACCAAAGTGGTACTAGTGTGGTTGCACTGAAACTCAGCAGCCACATTCCCCCTCCTGAGGTTTGCCCTTCCTTCCCCCAGGGCCTGGGAAGGGGACACTCCCTCTGGCTCACATCCCTCTAACATTCCAGACACACCTCTTGGGAACTGGGGACACAGAAGGGGTAGAGACCTGAGGAGGAATTGCCTTCTCCTATGTCCTCAGGCAGAGTCTTGGCTGTGCGACCCTGCATTTGCCACCCACCTTCTCTGGGTCATGGTCGACTCATCTGAAGTTGGAGAACTCAAACTGGCTTGGCCTCTAAAACCACAGTTCTCCTGGCAGACCTGGGAATCCTCTGGTTTCCACAGGGTTAACTCTGCAGGAGGCTTTGGGTAAGGGAGGCTTTCCCTTGTACTCCCTGTGAAACTGGAGGAGGATTTGATCAGGAAGCAAAAAATGAGAAGGACTTCCTGGGCTCAGGCATGCCAGCCCCTTTCCTCCCTGGGCAGTCAGGGTGCCTGAATCCAACCCCTTCCTCCTAGGTGCCTCAGATGGAAGAAATGATGCAGAGGGAGACGGAGTGAACGCATCTATGTCTTAAGACCCAGAAAACTGACTGTAGAAGATGACAGAAGAGTGGGGAAGGGCAGGGATGACTTCTCGGACAATGAAGCACTAAAGCAGGTCAGATCAGGAAGATTTTAATAAAAAAGATACTAGTTGGGACTTTAGACAAAGGCCCGAAGATAGGGAAATGTAGTGGTCCACAGCACAAAGCAGGCTGGGGTGGCTAGAGCATTGTGAGGGGATGGGAGGGCATGGGTGCCAAGTCCCAGAGGGCCTGAATGCCTGATGGAGGGCTTTGGGTTGTCTGGGATGGGCAAGGAGAGCCATGGAAAGAGCCCCACCTTCAGTAGGGGTTTCAGAGAGATTCCTCTGGTTGCTATGGACTGAATAGGGGAGGCCTGGAGGCTGCTAAAGGGGCTGTGGTCAAGGTGTGGGCAGAGATAATGGAGCCTGAACAGCTACGGGTTGTACATACAGAACAATACAGGTTTCCAGTCTGCTTGGTCTCCAGCAACAGGGAACTCACTCTCGGGCAGCAGTTCTCTCCTTTGGACAGCTCTTCCTGGGAGAAAGTTCTTCCCTATATGGGGTTCAAGCCTGTCTCTAGGAGATGTGTGGGTGCAAGGATCGAGATGTCATTGGTTTTACTGAGAAGATGTCACATGTAGTACTGGGTGACCCAGAAGGACAGAAATTTGGGAGAAAGTTCGGGTCCACTGAATTTAAGCTGAGAGCTTTGGTAAAGAGGCTTTCTGACCCCTCTGTGTGACTGACACTTCCCCGACCACCTGGGCAGAACCAGAGTATGACACTACTGGCCCCCGTGCTCTGACCGGATTAGACACCCAGATAAGCATTCCAGGTATCTGTGGCGAGACACACTCTAGGGTTCCTTAACTGGCTCCAGAAAAGCACAGACCAAGCACAAAGATATTTGCACAATTGGCAGTTTTAGGCATATCTTTTTATTTTATTTTATTTTATTTTATTTTATTTTATTTTATTTTATAAAAGGCAAAAGAATACATTTTGGCACAATTTTTATTTTATTTTATTTTATTTTATTTTATTTTATTTTATTTTATTTTATAAAAGGCAAAAGAATACATTTTTGAGTGGAAAATTAATGGAGTAAAGACCCTTATTAAAGTGGAGTCTCCTGACCTCCATTCCTAAAACTGTAATGTCATATGTATATATGACGTATATGTATGTATATATATATATATATGTGTGTGTGTGTGTGTGTGTATGTATCTATATGTATATACATACATATATATGTGTGTGTATTTAAAAAAAAAAAGCAAACATGAAACTTACGACCTGAACTTCACCCACCCCCTCAGGCCTATTTATGACAAAATTGTTACACAGCTCCTCCTTATGAATAGCCAGAGCTTCAAATCTGTCCTGTGGCCTCCTCCCCCCAGCCCTACCCATATCGCCCTTACCTCCCAAATGCCTATAGAAGCCCCTGCTTAGGAAAAAATGACAGACATACACACGTACTCAGAAAGACATTCACCTGGGGAACAACAGATGGCATAATGGGTAGTCGCTGGACTCCCAGGTAGTTGCCCACAGTTTGAGTCCTAGACCCAGTGACTTAAACTCATGCCAGGCGCATGTGTGTACGTGCCCAAGATCCCGAGAGGAGAATGGAAGAAAAGGAATTGCAGTGTGGCCACCCCCTCTGGTGGGTGACTTCTTGTTTTCTGTCTCTCTGTCTCTCTCTGTGTTTCCGGTGCGCTCACGTGCCCTATAGCAAAAACCTTTCAAAAAAGAAAAAGAAAAAGGAAAACATGCACCTGAACCCTCCTCTGTACAGCCGATGCCAGCTGTGCCATTGGGGCCTGCAACTATAAGCTCGTTGCTGGCAAAGCTCCAGATGGCATCTGGTGACAGATTAGAGCCAGAGTGGGTGAGAACAGAAGCCTGAGACCAGTTTCTAAAATGTGCACACCCTGGCACTTTCCTCACTCACATTCAGACACATCACCTTCCCTCTCTGCCCCTCCCTAGAATCCTTTCTACTTAGTCCCTTGCTCTGAATAGCTGGGAAACACACATTCATGTGTACACACACATACACACACCCACACACATACACTTACTGCCCATTCTCTCTCTTTGGGAGATAAAATGACATATTGTCCCCACTCCCTGTCCCACCACAGCTAAGAGCAGTGGCCTATGGTCCTGTTTGGGCAGGGTCCAGTGGAACTCCTGCAGGAGGCTGTCTGGGGTGAGGGGATATAGGGAGCATCTTAGCCTGAGAAGGGAATCATGAAGGGGGCTTCTAGGGCATGGCCCCTGCACAGTCAGTGGATGCTCAAAGGAGGGGTAGTGGCCGTGACCCCTGCCCACTCAGATCTGCTCCTTGTGTTTCACGTGGGCCAGCTTCACATTCTCCTGCTCAGTGGAGGGTGGGGGCTGCTCCAGGTGGCAGCCGATCATGAGCTGGTACACGAAGACGCCCGCGATGGAGCCCAGGAGTGGGGACACAATGGGCACCCACCACCAGTGCCGGCCAGTCCTGGGGGAAGAGACACATGTGGTCAGGGGTGGGTGGGCAGAGCAGAGAGGAGGCAGGCTGGAGGAGGCAGGAGCATAGTGGGAGCTATACTCACGTGAAAACTTCAGAGCCCCAGCCAGCGATAGCAGTGAAAAGGCGGGGGCCGAAGTCCCGGGCAGGGTTGACAGCATAGCCGGAGTTGAAACCCATGGAGGTTCCAATGACTAGGACCACCAGGCCCACGGTGAAGGCCTCCAGGCCACGGGGCACAGGGTTGTTGTAGGGGTCAACGATGGCCAGCACACACACAATGAGGGAGGCTGTGCCTATGAACTGAGGAATGGGGACAACAGGCTGAGGGGCAGCTCCCTTCCCACCCTTTCATCCCACCTGTTCCCGCTTCCCTCCAGCTTTTAGAGCATCCTGTCAGCTCCCGTGCTCTGCTCTCTGAAGCAGTGGTGCTAGGATGTTACTGTGTACGAAAATCAGAGGGGAGCTGCTTGTTTTACAAGTATCTGCTACCATTTTCTGACCAGGTGTCCCCACAAATTGAGAAGTCCTGTTTCCCAGACAGCCCATGAGCAATGAGAGCATCTTGATCCTTCTCCCTGTGTTCCCCTTACATGTCCTTAGCCCGTACCTGGTCGAAGAAGCCATTGACCATGTCCAAATGTCCAGAGGGGTAGGTGGCAAAGATACCAGCTGTGCCGTTGGGGCCCGCGACTATAAGCTCATTGTTGGCAAAGCTCCAGATGGCATCTGGTGACAGATTAGAGCCAGAGTGGGTGAGGACAGAGGCCTGAGCCTAGCCCTCCTCTCAGGCTGGACCCTTTCCCCTCCCAGGGGTCGGGGTTAGTATACTCATTGCTATATTACTCCAGAAATGGAGGGGGTGGGGTGGGATGGGGTGGAGGACCTGAGCCTCTATTGTTGCCCAACTTGTTTCTTTCCCCTCGTGCCCCTCACCTCGGCCTGTGCGTGAATGAGTGACTCATGAGCCTGTGGCCTGGGCAGGCCCCAGCTGTCTGTCATCAGAGGGCCTGGTGCCAGCAGGTCCCAAGTAAAGGGAGGGTGGGAGGAGGCAGAGTGCAGAATGCTTACCATAATACAGCCCAAAAACGATCCCAGCACCCAAAAAGGCTCCCAGAGTCTGAGCCAGGGTGTAGATGGGTAGCTTGATCCAGGGCTCACGCGCCAGGAAGCACATAGCAAAGGTCACAGCAGGGTTCAGGTGAGCTCCTAGGCAGAGGGGAGATGAGACCTATTAGCTACAGCCTGCCACAACGGGGAGGCCAGGACTCCCCATGTAATACCCCTCTCTGGCCCTGGTGAGAAGGGATACTGAAAAGGGTATCTTGTACAGGATGTCGGTTGGACTATGTAACAGGCCAACTCTGATAATCTGGTTCTAAGGTGAGAGTCGAAGGTTCTAAGTGTCTTCTTTCTCCACCCTCCTCTCCCAAGGGCCCAAAGCTGAGGCCACAGCTATGACCTGCCTTGGGAATGCTTCCCTCTCCATGCCCCTCCCCAGCAGGACACCTAGTGGGAATGCTGATGAGGGGGAAGAACTGAGAGTGGGGCAAAGGCCTTACCTGAGACCTGGCCAGCAATGAGGATGCCCAGGGTGACAGCAAAGCCAAAAGCCAGATTGATGGTGAGGAAACCACCATGGGTGCCCCGACTGAGCACAACCTGGGCCACAGAGCCACAGCCAAACATCTGTGTCAGGAACAGAACAAGGCAGGAAGGTGATGACCAGCACCTCTCATTCCAGAAGGAAGAGAAGCCAGCCACTGCCACCTGCCACCATAAGGAGGGCACGGGGGTCCTTCCAGAAATCCAACCCAAGTCTCCTTTGCTACAGTTGCCCTCTCTAGGAAAAGGAGACGTGTCCCCCACCCCAGTGTCCCAATTCTAATGTAGCAGGGCCCTATGGAAAGGGCTAGAAGCAGGGCTTGGGACCAGAAGCCCAGAAGATAGTTGAACCATCTTCACTAACTGTTCTTGGACCCCAGCAGGAGCGAGGTGGAGGGGAACAGGTTTTAACCTTAGTAGTTTCTGTTCTGCCCTTAAGGCTTGGCCCATAGGGGTGGGAAGGCCCTCCCTCATTCCCCAGTCATCCTAAAGAAGAGCTTAGGCTGTGGTGTGACAGGGTGCCACTTCCCCTGACACAGACATCAGAATCCCTGGCCCTCACCCTGTTCCTCTCACAGCATCCTCATTTTCTGACCTGTCCCTGTCCTTGTCCCAGAGCCTCCTCTTTCCGCCTGCCCTGACCTCTTTACCCCTAGTGATCCAGATGTTCCACTCAGATATAAAGGTCCTAAAGACAAGGACTGAGTAATTCCTGTCACTAAGATCCAGTGGAAATGGGGAGACTAGTTTTAAACTACCTTCCAGGGATGGGGGTTTAAAGGAGACTAAGATCCTTGATATTCTCCAAGTATGGCACATGCTGTGTGTCTGTCTCCCTTGTTCAAATGTGACAATACTCCTGGGAATATGCCGGCTGTAAAGAGTAAAGTGCCGTTGCCTTGAGACCCCCACCCCCACCCCAAAGTGCCCTCCACAGCTGCTCTAACCCTTGACTCGAGGCTCCTCTCCCCTCCGCCAATAGCTAAAGGTTTTATGCCAACACTAGATGCAGTTCCAAGACCCATGCGAAGGGTCTCCTGTTCATTCTGATGGGTCAATGCCTGTTGTACTGCGTTATTAAGCATTTTGGTTATCATCCCTCAGAAAGACCAAGAGATAGTGAGAAAGGCAGGGCAAAGGTGTGCAGGGCAGGTGAGAGCAAAGATCAGAGATTGTGAGTGGGTAAGGGGGGCACGTGGGGGTCTGGGGCACCCTGTCCTGCTTGGCAGGTCCTGGCCTCAGCTCTTGCCTGCCTCAGGTTCAGACCTGGCTCCATCCCAAGAGCCTTTGGAAGGAGGAGCTGTCAGAGCCAGTTCCACCACCTTGAGGCTAATCTTCCTCTTCCTCCCCCTCCCCCGTCCCATGTTCTTGGCCAGCACTCCCCACCCCATGCCCTACTAGGTAGCCCCAGAGAAAGGGGCTTCCATTAGGCCAAAGCCAGTGTAATTCTGTCATTGCAGGCTCTAGGTTCCCAACACACAGACATGCAGGCAGGCCCTCACATACCACTGGGCCTGACCCTTCCTGGTCGGGAAGCTCTGAGGTTCTGCTTTTCACTGACACCTGAACCTGGACCCTGTCTCTACAAACTACTAACACCCTCATCCTTTCATGGTCTGAGATAAGCCACATGATCCTGGGGCCCAGCAGGTGACTGCTCCTTTGCATGGGAGATTATAGATGGGGGAGGGGATAGGGAGTCCCCTCTAGGAAAATGGAAGACATGTTTCCCTGTCCTGGCCGACCCATGAATCAGATAAAGAGTGGGGGGTTCAGGGCAGGAGGGTGATTAATGCCTCTTTCTACTCCTTTTCCCTTCTTGGGAGACGGCTGAACAATCAGTAGGGACACCAGTTTTACAAGGGGCTGCAGATAAAATGCTCTGTTCTTGGAATCCAAAGGTGAGTCTCAGCCCTCCTCTCCCCATAGAGCCTGCTTCACCACAACCACACCACCCATTTGGATGGCTTTGCCTGGGGCCTACTTGCCTCTAGCTAAGCTTCCTGCTCTATGGGGCCGTCTGGTCTGTTACTAAGGGCTGGGGCTGAGCAGCAACAGCACAACCACCCCACTGCAATGGAGCAACTGAACCCAGAAGTAACCAAGTGGAAAACAGGTGTAACCACATGAGTGACTGAAAATCAGAGTAACTGGGACAGGAAACGAAGACCATAACTGGTGTGTTCGCCAGCCCCAAGAAGTGCAAACAGAGTCACCCAGGAACAACCTGGAGCAAAACTCGTGTAACCTAGGAGTAACAGGAGCAGAGGAGTATCCCAGGCAGAAGGACGGTCTGGTCGAGAGAGCTCATGGAATAGCCGAGAGGCTGGGAAATAGCTTTTGGGGAGCCGGCCGTCCTCTGCACAGAATTTGACAGCGTCTGGACAACTAACAGGGTCTGGGTGTCGCTCAGCTTGTAGGAAACAACTTAGAAACACCCTGTCCTCTGTGTTTGGGACCACCTTCTTTCCACAGCTTCTCTTCAGGATCTTCCTTCCCCTCTTTGCTGTTTGCAGCCCCTGTGGTCTCCGCCCTCTACCCCCAGGCGTTGCAAACTGTCCTCACTTCACTGCAACTTTTGGACTCTCTGAGGCTTAATTATTCATTAGGGGCTAGACACGTAGGACCCAAATAACCTAATAGGGGGCCGTTTGCTCTGTCCTCACTCCTCCCCAGGCCAGGAGTCTGTGAACCTGGAGAAGGCAGCCGGGGCTGGTGGTCCCAGTGTGCAAGAGTGACCATTGCCCCTAGCCTGTAGACTGGGTCACGGTGGAGGTTCAGAGCAGTCACTGGGAAGTAACAGCTGTCATTCTGGCATGAGTCCCAGCTGTCAGAGATGGAGTTGGAATGGCCCAGAAGAGGACTTCCGAAGTCAACCTGACCCTCCTAGGTTAAGACTGGGGTCAAACCTGGGGATCGGAGTCGGGAAGGGGCTCAGGACTGTCCTGAAAAACACAGTCCTTCAAATGCGGATATATTGGGGCGAGTAGGGGCTAGAGAGAGGAGGGTTTCTCCTCTCCTCCACTCACCACGAGGATGAGGGTCCCCAGGGACCCAGC